GCCCCACTTGGCGAAACTAATCCATCTACTCGGTGAAACTAATCCCTCCCCTCAGTGAAACCGAATCCCTCTACTCGATGAAACCAATCCCTCCACTCCACGAAACCGAACCCCCTCCAGTTGACGAAACTAAATCCTTCGCATCACCATTCTGTAGAGATTGTTGATTTGGTGGGTTTTGGTTGTGGGAAAGGGGATTTGTAGTGAGAGAGGGGGTGAACTTGTGGGAAAGACGAAGCGAAAATCAGAAAACAATGGCAAGTAATTACGTAACGTAACTGCTGTCATATGTCTGTTGGTTTTTGGTAAATCCCATTACGTGAATGGTAAATTTCACTATACATGTAGTTAATTATGAATTTTACAAAATACATATTGTGATTTACAACTTTTGTAGTGAAAGTGACTACTTTGTTAATGGATTTTGCAACCTGTTTTCAGGAGATAAACAACTTGTTTGTAAAAACTAATAAAATTTCACGCTAAATTTGACAAAACGTATAGTGGGATTTACAACTTCCGTAGTAAAAATGACCACTTATTCAATGGGTTTTGTAACTTGTTTTCAGGGGATGGGCAGCTTGTTTCTAAAAACTAATAAAATTTCCTACTAAATTTGACAAAACACATAGTGAGATTTACAACTTTTGTAGTGAAAATTACCACTTCTTAAATGAGTTTTGCAACCTCTTTTTAAGGAATTGGCAACTTGTTTCTAAAAACCAATAAAATTCCATGCTGAATTTTACAAAACATAGAGTGATATTTACAACTTTTGTAGTGAAAATTACCACTTCTTAAATGAGTTTTGCAACCTCTTTTCAAGGGATTGGCAACTTGTTTCTAAAAACCAATAAAATTCCATGCTGAATTTTACAAAACACACAGTGATATTTACAACTTTTGTAGTGAAAATTACCACTTCTTAAATGAGTTTTGCAACCTCTTTTCAAGGGATGAGCAACTTGTTTCTAAAAATCAATAAAATTTGACGCTGAATTTTACAAAACACACAGTGATATTTACAACTTTTATAGTGAAAATGACCCTTCTTAAATGAGTTTTGCAACCTCTTTTCAAGAGATTGACAACTTGTTTCTAAAAACCAATAAAATTCTATGCTGAATTTTACAAAACACAGAGTGATATTTACAACTTTTTTAGTGAAAATTACCACTTCTTAAATGAGTTTTGCAACCTCTTTTCAGGGGATGAGCAACTTGTTTCTAAAAATCAATAAAATTTGACGCTGAATTTTATAAAACACACAGTGATATTTACAACTTTTATAGTGAAAATGACCACTTCTTAAATGGCTTTTGCAACCAGTTAATTCAACGTGACAACAAAAGTTGTCACTTTTATTAGTTTTTACAAACAAGTTGTTTATCTCCTGAAAACAGATTGCAAAACCCATTAACAAAGTAGTCACTTTCACTACAAAAGTTGTAAATCACAATATGTATTTTGTAAAATTCATAATTAACTACATGTATAGTGAAATTTACCATTCACGTAATGGGATTTACCAAAAACCAGCAGGCATATGACAGCAGTTACGTTACGTAATTGCTTGCCAGTTTTCTGATTTCCGCTTCGTCTTTCCGCTTCGGTTCACTCCCTCTCTCACTACAAATCCTCTTTCCTACAACCAAAACCCACCAAATCAACAATCTCTACAGAATGGTGATGCGAAGGAGTAAGATAATAGCATTTCCAACATTCTTCTTTCCTTCTTCCCGCATTTCATCAGCGTCGGTCTTCCTCTCTCCTTTCTCTCACTGTGTCGGTCTTCCTCTCTCCTTTCTCTCACTTTCAGCTTTCGGTCTTCCCCCATTTCATCAGGGCATTTTGGTCTTTTGGCCGAAAATATGAATTCCAGATTGGTACCCAGTGCCCTATTTGTCATTTTGCTTATTCAGGTCCCTTATCTGTCTTTTTGGAATTCAAGTGATATTTTATTGTCATTTTCCCATTTTAAAAGTGATTTTATGATATACAAAGTAAATATGTGGAGGAATTTGTCTCCGTCTATAAAAAATACTTTTAAAAAACACTTTTGATAATATCCAAACACCTCCTAAAATAAATTTTTAATATATTTTTTAAAAACACTCTTAAAAGTTCCTTTAAAAAGTGCCTTTCGATGCACTTTAAAAAGCACAAAGACTAGAAAAAACAATAAAATCAACTTTCCAATAGTTAAAAGTCAAATGCTTTGGACAAATTTAGATAGAAATCAAACCATAGTTTTAAAAATGATTTTATCTGAAATAAATATGTGAAGTAGTTTTCTCTATTTACGAAAAAATACTTTTAAAAAATATTTTTGATAATATCCAAATACCCCTTAAGTTGAATTTTCAATGCACTCGTTACGCGGGGTTTTAGGGTGGACCCAAAGCAAAATCACAAGACCAACTTCCAGTTCAACTCGTAACATGTTACTGATTATATCATTGGACATTTAAAAACAAGTTAAATTAGTCCATTATTAACGGAGACAAAATAATATAGCATTATTTTGTACTGTGACCTTTGCTCATTAATATAAGGACTACATAACTAATTTGAGTGTATTAGAAAAATTAGTTAACTTGATTATTTATTAGAATGGGTCATGCCTTTTTTTTCCACTTTGAAAAGCTTAGAAATGTTCTCCCTCCATGAGATGAAAACATTCAATTGCTTTTTAATAAAATACAATAACTCAAAATAACCAGTTATTTTTTTAAGAAAAAATTATAATCAAGTCTCACGAAAAAAAAAATTACTAAAAAGTTTTAATACCAATCTAAGCAGCTTTGAAATGACAAATTTTAGAGTGAAAAATAACAACCTGTAAAACTTGTTTTGTAATATTTTTCCTTCCCTAGGCATTCATTGTAATTTTTCTTCTTTTTTTCAGGATTTGATAGTAATAACTATATACTCCTCCGTCTCTAATATAAGATATAATTAACTAATTTTATTAGATTAATGAAGTTAGGTAAGTTAGTTAATTATAAAAAATATAACATGTTTTTAAAAAAAATACCATAATCATCTTTCTTAATATCTTTCCTTCTTACCAGCGCACGCTGGCACGACCGGTAAGGGAGTCGTGTTCCCTTAACCATCATCTCTAGGGTTCGATTCCTGGAGGGATGGGAATGGAGCAAGTGTGCCTGGAGGGTCACCCCCATCATGGTCCCGACAGTACCCGAGGGATTAGTCATTGGCTTCGCTCCGATGGATACCCTGGTGCATACCAAAAAAAAAAAATATTTCCTTCTTCACTTACTTGATTATGTATGAGAGAGTATCCACACAAAAATGATAAATATGATAAATATGTTTTATATTTAGGACTAAAATTAGTTTAACAATTAGATCCTATATTAAAGACTGGAGGGGTATTTTTTTTTTGATAAATATGAGAAATATGTTTTATGATTTTTTTTCCCCCTTAAAAGGCCAAGAAATGTTCCCTACATGTGAAGGAAATATTCAATTTTAATCAAACACACGACTCGGGATAGTCAGTTTTTTAATTAATCAATGGCAATAGTAGTGTATATTTCCAAGTGTTAAACACTTTTAGTATGTTTTGATTTTGGTCATTATATTTTTTTGTTGGTTTTTTAAAACTTATTAAAACACTGAATGAACGATATCTTCAATTTCAGGAGGGATATTGGTTACTGAACCGTGGAAGTATAGCTAATAAATAAGAGCTGAAACTAGGCTTCAACGGTAGTGGTCCCATGAGATTAGGAGAGTGTTTAGATGAAAATCAAATCATTATTTTAAAAGTAATTTTACAGTATATGAAATAAATATATAGAGGAGTTTGTCTCAATTTGTGAAAAAATGCTTCTCAGAAGCACTTTTATGCGATGCCAAACATCCCCTAAAAAAGTGAGTTTGGATTAGCAGCAAGAAAAGTTACTTTTTTTTAATCTGACTTTTTTTGTCATAAATTAAATATAATTTGTAAAAATTAAATTCGATAAAAGTTATACAGTGTGATGTAATTTATGTTTGAATTGATTTTTGTTAAAAAATCAGTTTAAGGGGGTGTTTGGTATTCTCAAAACCGTGGTTTCAGAAGTACTTTTCCGCAAAACGAGGTAACCTCCTTCACATATTTACTTCGTAATCCGTAAAAGCACTTTTGAAACCATGATTTGGTTTCTATCCAAACACCCCCTAAAAAGTTGAAACTTGTTTGAATGATTAATGAGAATGTAAGTTTAGATATAAAATGATTAAAAATAATATGAATTTTATTATATACATTATTTATGTATAATGTGAATTTTTAAAAAAAAATTAAAATCAAAATTATAAAAATAGAAGGATTTGATGTATTATTAAAAAAGTTGTAAAATATTTCTTATTTTAATTGTTATTTCTACATTAACAAATAAAAATAACAACAAATAAATATGGATAGCATGATTATTTTCTATGCAAATAGCACTTCTTTTAAGATAAGAGAGATGGTATAATTAGAAAAGCTATATATATATATATATATATATATATAGCTTCAAGATAAAAATTGCTTTTTTTCGTGAAATCTTTTTCTTTTTCTTTTTTTCCCCTCTCTATCGTCATCCCAAACGAAAGATTTTGATTAGAAGTGATTGCTCACGGTATAAAGAAGGAGACTATACGAAAGGTTGACACACAAAGACTTTCCTAATCTTTCCCCCACTGGTTGGTACGACATCTACAGGAAATGAAATGGCAACTCGGATGGTCGGGAACTCTACTATCATCTAGAATCTTCCGCCGCCTCACTAGTGTAAGACGGCCTGAGGATGGGGCCTTCTTAATTAGGAGTTCTCTGTTAATTAATTACAGGAAAAATTAAAATTGATTTGAAAATCATTGTGGGGTCTATAAAACGCGTACGGTTGGACTCCTTCTCTGGCCCTTTATTCTCTTCTCACCGCATCCAGGGGAAGCCCTTTCAATCTCTTGTCTATTCTTTTCTCACCACATACAGGGGAATGGCGTTCCTTCTCAAGTGCTTCGGAGGCTGTGGTTCAACTTCTATGCAGCAACCTTCAACTTCCGCAACAATAGAAGATCTATGCCATCGTTTTTCTCTTGCCCAACTTCGAAAATCCACCAACCACTTTGACAGCCGCCTGATAACCCATACAGACGACTTTTATCGGGCGTACAAGGGTTGCATCTCCATCAATGGCGAACTGAAAGATGTTGTAGTGGAGCGGCTCAAAGGAGACTTCGTGGACTCAGACTTGCAATTGGTTAAGAACAATATCATATATAGGTGCCAGCTCCACCACCCGAATGTGGTGTCTCTGGTTGGATTTTGCGATGATGAAAATGAAATGATCGTGGTTTATGACTACCCCCCAAACGGATCACTCCGTGATCAACTGAATAGCAAGCCGCCAACAATCTCGTGGAAGAAAAGGCTAGAAATCAGTATAGGGGTGGCGCGTGGTTTACACTATCTTCACTCCGGAACCAAACGCACCCTCATTCATCGCGATATAAAACCGACTGCCATTCTTTTGGACGAGAATTGGGTTCCCAAAATCACATTTTGCAGCTTCTCTTTAAAAGGACCAAAGTTTTCAGAAAAGGATGTGAGGCCTATAGAGGCAATGATTATCGGTACTTTTGGATACATCGCTCTTGATACCTTTATGACCCAAAATTACACGCATAAAAGTGACGTCTATTCTTATGGGGCAGTTTTGTTAGAACTAATTTGTGGAAAGCCTCTTATGCAACTTAGGCGTCAGAATGATTTTCGTGATGTTAAGGAATTGCGTGATTTGGCAGAAACAGGACATGCTGAGGAAATTTTTGATCAGAGCTTGATGGGACAAATAGCAGCGGGGTGTTGGAAATTGTATATGGACATCACAGAGAGTTGCATGAGTGACGATCCCGATGAGAGGCCAGACATGGGAGAAGTTGAAGTGCTACTTGAACGTGCATTGCAACTACAAGAGGAAGCAGATAACAACCTTGCTTTTCATGCTTCTTGATTTAATTTCTCTTCTTGTTTGAATCTTTCATGCTTATTCTTCCACCGGAAAATACTTGTTTGTGTCTCTTAATTCACAGGTTCTTTAGATGTAACCTCTCATAATCCTTTTTTATACTATTGCCAGTCTCTTGATGTCTTGTTCATAGTATATTACTAAACAAGAATGTACTCCCGTACCACGCAAAGTATTTGGCTACTATTACACACCATTCCTGCTTATTTCAAACATAATAGCCATTGGCGTGAAGCTTGTAAATTATATTGGAACTCATTTGCCACGGCTAAACGCAAGTATTTGCTAATATTACATAGCATTCTGTTGCTCCTCTTGATGTCTTGTTCATATATGGTACTATGCCTGTTGATAGGGTGTGAATTGTAGTTGTGGTCATGGCCATGGTTGGAGTCTGCAAAAGAGCTTAATTAAATCAGAAGGATGAAGCAGTACCATTGAAACACAAGATACATTTTGATAGTACCAGAATATTCAGAATACACTTATCTTTTAATGTTCACGTAATTGCAACTCGACTTATGGGATAATGAGAAGACTGATACGGAACAATTCTGTCACCCAGGTATAGAGGTATCTACATATTCGATATATAAGATATTACATCGTTCACGTAAACAACTATCAACCTATGATTCATGATTCGTACAGGAATTGTATTTAGTAACATTCAAACTTCTCCACATGAAATGCTGTCGCTGTTTATGACCACAGGAGCAGTATCAGTTTTGGATGAAATCATAAAGAGAGATTTCAGCTGGTTGCTGAAACAGAAATTTACTCAGTAGCACACTGGCATGGTGTTTAACCATACTGGGACTGATAGTAAATTTGTTCAAAAAAAAAGTAAATAACTTGTTGTGATAACTTCATATCACAGCTCTTATTGCATTTAGAATAAACATTTCTGCTCCAATTAATGCAAGTCTTTTTACAGGTCATAGAAAGATGCCTCCATCTTTAGATTTTCGTACAATAAAAAAGAAGCATAGATTATCAATGATAGAAGCCGCCTTACATGCAATCTGGGATAACATCTCAACATCAAGAAACTATCTATTCTATACGCTTAGACCTGAAAGCAAACTGTTATTGCTAAGTGTAACTAGAATTACAAATCAAACGGCCTTAAAGTGCAAGCTCAAAATATATGCTGAGGAGTTCAGCATAGAAGGATCAAGTATAAACTACTGACTATATATGTTACGATGTATCAACCTTCACAATAAACCCAGAATCATGCTACTTCCTAGCTATCAAGAGTAATTTCTTAAGCAGCAGTAACGAAATGCCTGTGCCATGAAACTAGCAGTATATGTTTTGAAAAATGAATAAACAATGAAGTCTCTACTATGAAGATTAGTGACACGGATTTGATATGTCTTGGTTGAGAAATGTATGAATTATTTAAAGTTTTATAGATTACATGGTTTGGATTTTACAAATGTCTGGAAGTCTTTTAGCTATCTCATATCATCATCTGCAGAAGTTCATCTTGTAATCAGTCTCTGTTTTCAAAGTATCATATACGAAAGAAAGGAGGGGACAGCAACCTGCCACAGTATGGTGAGTGTGTGTGTGGAAGTCTTCTCATTCATTACATTCACAGTTTTAACCCTCTATTTTAGTAATGCTACGTGCCATCATCTATCTGATATCAATGGACCTCATTAAAAATGTAACATATGTTTCATCTAACCGCAGCACCCAGTGGGTAAATAGCTGCTTACAGATCACAAAACTAATATAAGGTTATAGGCCTTGTTTCCTAGTGATCTCAGGACATAAAGAATTAATTTTATAAAAAAATATTTGAACTCATGACACAATCATGGTCGATGTAGTTCACAATGTATAGAAACATGATTGTTAGGTAACTTACCTTTTTTATAGATGTAAAAACTCGAACAGCTTATCTTCTATACTTCCTATAATACGCTTTAAATTTTAGAAAGTAATTTCAAGACTCCATATTTCATATTTTTAGATTTTTTCTATAAATTTAAAAATAATTTATTTTAATTCGAGATAATATTTATAATTCATTTCATTTGAATGATTTATATTTAGTTTAATAACCAATTTTTTTTAAAAAAATTAAATAAATCTATCAAAAGATTAAAATTTTCTATGAACTCTGATGCTTTTTCCCCCTATGATAAGAGACTTATAAATATTCTCCATCCGTTGGTTGTAAATATTTATATTTTATTTGAGTAAAATCCTTAAAGTTACGAAAATATATTTTAAACCATTGACAGTTGACATCGTACGATGGAGATGCCTTTTGGACTAACTAATGTAGTCCCAATTTTGTAAGAACCATTTGTGGAAAATAATAATTATTAATAAAATAAATATTTTAAAATAATTAATATAATTAAACAAAATCCATAATTCAATGAGTTATATCTATAAAAATTTAACACCATTCATAAAATCACTTGTTTTCTGCAAAAAATGATGTAATGATTGACTAGTTTGAAATGCTTAATAAATATAAATTTAACATATGATAATTAGAGCATACTTTAGAACTTTTATTTATTTCATATAAGACAGCTCTAATAGTTAATTTTTTTGCCAGCGCTCTAATAATTTGATTAAGTAGTATAATTTTTATTAAATTGCTATTTTTATTAGGTAATAACTTTAATTTAATCATTAACTGAATCTATTTTGTGATATTAACCATTAAACCATTTGTTAAAGCAAAGCCTTTAAATTACACGCTACACAGATTTTCTAAACGCCCTTCGATAAATACACAACATTTCTATTCCAATTTTATTTTTTCCTCGTGGCTTTGTGATTTTTCTCCATCTTTTCGAGCTTTTGCATCAATTGATTTTGATAATTGCCAAAAAAAAAAGAAACACTTTGTAATTCTTCTTCTTTTTTGCCCTTTATTTTTTTTGCCCTTTATGCAATACTAAGAAAATAGTATATGAGTAATTAAATTAGCATTACTATAGTCGACCCAAAAAAATGTATTTTCAAAAAGAAGAGCCTGAACATGGACTTTCTCAAAGTTTATTTTTATATCTTACATAGGGAAGGTAGATTCAATATTATTATAAAAAAAGAGACATTGTCACCTTAAAAAAATACAATTAACACCCTAAAATATATTTTAGTGTATTTAGTCCCTAAAAAATTATGTAAAGTAATTTGGGAAAAAGACAGAAAAATAACACTTGAATTTCATAATGCCCAAATGGTCTACTGAATTTGAGAATCTTGAGACCAAATTGGGATTATCATGTTAAAAGAAAAGACTAAACTGCCCTTTATTTTATTTATTTTTTTAAAATACCAAAGCCTCTACCGGCAAGCCGGTCAGTCGCCAGATCTCCAGTGGTGGTAGTCACCGGAGCTTCTGCGACCGGCCAACAATTGGTCACCGGAACTCTAGCGGTCGAAAACAATTTTTTTGAAAATTTTTACAACTTCAGTATAACAGTTAATAACTTTTATAACGTTATTAACAACTTCAATATAGCAGTTAACAACAGGTTTTCTAGAGAATTCGACAAGCTCTGGCGGCTAGAAACAATTTTTTTGAAAATTTTTACAACTTTAGTATAACGATTAACAACTTTTGTGACGCTATTAAGAACTTTAGTATAGCAGTTAACAATTAGTTTTCTAGGAAATTACAAGCTCCGGCAGCCGGAAACAATTTTTTTGAAAATTTTTACAACTTCACTATAACGGTTAACAACTTTTGTAACTCTATTAACAACTTCAATATAGTAGTTAACAACAAGTTTTCTGGGAAATTCAACAAGTTTCGACGGTCAGAAACAATTTTGTTGAACATTTTTACAACTTCAGTATAACAGTTAACAACATTTGTGATGCTATTAACAACTTCAGTATAGCAGTTAATAACAGGTTTTTCAGGAAATTCAACAATTGGTCACCGGAGCTCTGGTGACCAGAAACAATTTTTTTATTTTTTTAAAATTTTTTACAATATCAGTATAACGGTTAACAACTTTTGTAACGCTATTAACAACAGGTTTTTTGAAAAATTCAAAAAGTAGCATTTTTACAACTTCAATAATGCCATTAACAAGTTCCGTAACTTTATTAAGAACTTCGGTATAGTATTTAACAACATGTTTTCTTAAAAAATTTTTTAAAAAAAGATATTTTTACATTACAACTTTAGCAACTATTTTTTTTAAAAAAAAATTTTTATAACTTCAGTATAACGGTTAACAATTTTTATAATATTATTAATAACCTCAGTATAACAGTTAACAACAAGTTTTCTGAAAAATTCAAAAAGTAGCATTTTTACAATTTCAGTAATGTCGTTAACAAGTTCCGTAACTCTATCAACAACTTCGATATAGCATTTAACAATAGGTTTTCTTACAAATTCAAAAAAATGGCATTTTTATAACTTTAACAACTACTTTGTTTTGAAAATTTTTACAACTACAGTATAACGATTAACAACTTTTGTAACTCTATTAACAACTTCGATATGGCAGTTAACAATAGGTTTTTCGAAAAATTCAAAAAGTAGCATTTTACAACTTCGGTAATGCCGTTAACAAACTCAAAAACCTATTGTTAACCACTATATTGAAATTGTTAATAGAGTTACAAAAGTTGTTAACTATTATACTAAAGTTGTAAAAATTTTCAAAAAAATTGTTTTCAGTCGTTAGAGCTCTTGCA